TCGTGCTGCTTGAGTAGGCGCAGTAAACTTTTGCCATCCTTAATTTTATATACCGGTTTGAAGCTAAAGCGATGCCCATCCGGTGTTGCCTCAATTTTTGGATTATTTGTGAGGGCTTCGGAGGCTAGCCACTGAAAATACATAAGAGTCTATATTTTTTCCAGTTCTGTGTGTAGTTAGAGACTACATTTTTAACAGATTGACCAATGTCCAGTTGATTAGTTTCATCCAAAATTTCCTCAATGGTCAAAGGATGGTCATCGCCATCTTGATGTCGAGTACGCATATGTTTTACAATCTTGGCTAGCACACCAAACCGATATTGCGAACTTCCAGACATAGTCTTATACCTTGTGTGATAATGAAATTAAACAGATGATAAACGTGCCGTGATACAACCTACGTGCTGGCATCCAATTTAGGAGCGCTCGGAGGACGCATTTTCTTTTTGGCATCATCTTTAGCGGGCGGTGGTGGTGCCTCAGTCTTTGGCTTTTTCTCCACGCTGGATGGGGAAAGAAAAAGTATTCACATACACATGTACACATATTGGCAATATCTAATAAATGGATAAACTCACGTGGGAGTGGCCATAGCCCTTTTCTTGAACGCTTCGCGTTCCCTAAGTAGAGCCGGATCCATGGTATTGTAATAAACCTCTAATACTTAACGGAAACTCAATTTATTTCTGTTTACACACAAATAATTATGACACAGCTGTTAACTTGGAGATGCTCCTTCTTTTAGGAATGTCGGAAAAGCATCGATGCATCGAAAATATCGATGTTATGCTTCGATGTATCGAAAATTTTACACGGTGTGTGTATAAATAGTCGATGTATCGGTGCATCGATGTTTTTTGTAAACCGACTTCTCCGGCACATTGAACCGTCATTCCAGTTTTTAAATTGTTCAAAACAGAGAAGTTACTTTGACCAAAAAAAAATTAAATGATTGCAAGAAGTTCCTTTAAAATCATAATTAGCTCAGTTGCAGTAATGTATTTAGAATTTTATAATTTTTTTTTTTTAAATTTTTGAAAATTTTTTTTTTTTGTGAAACATTATCTTAAAAATCATATGCAAATCGATGCATCGATGTGTGGCCGGTTACTGGCGAATTCAGATTTTCGCCGCGATACTTCTTAATGTCAAAATGATGTGTTTGTTGTAATATGAGTTCGCCTTGTTTACAAAGAACACATCATTTTGACATTAGGAACATTAACGTAAACATTCGGACAAGGATTTGACGTATAATAATATTGACGTATTGTGCAAGAAAGAAGAGAAATTCACAACGAAAGAGCTATTATAACACAAGATACGCTGATGTGTATGTAAGTTTGCCTCTTCTTTATTACATTTTAGTTGTTAGCTTAAATCGCTCGCGCGAAATGCGTATTATAATACATCGTTCACGTCCGATATTTTGCTCAATATGAATTGTCATCACTATTGTCGTCCTGACATCGTCGCGGAGATAATTACAAGCATTTTTAACTACTTATACGTATTTATTTATTGTCTTGACAGCATTGTCTAATGTAAACGCGCCGTTATGTGCGAAACTTGTTCTTCTTCTTCATATGCGGAAGTCTTCGTTCACTATAGTGTGGCGAATACTCATGATTCAATAATTAAAGGCCGGTCCGGTCCACATAGAACCATTGGCAGGTAAAATCACAGTCTCAATTCGTCGGCCATGATTTTTTTCTGACGTTTGCAAACATTTTAAAATCATATAAAATTGAAAATAAAAAAAATGAAATTGTTCACAATTGTTGTTGTTTGAGATTATAAATGAGAATGTGTGTGTGAGCTTGAGTTCGAATTTTAAAATTATATTGTGGCAAACGTCAGACTGCCCCTCAATGATTTTATCTTGTAATGTTTTTATCATGGCTAAAAGTATGCTTGCGTTCATTGTAGACGCTTGGCAGCGAATGCTTGGGCCACGAAATTAACATACTAATGACAGATAAACTAATATTTCATATCAATAATTGCATTAAAAACGATTTTTCTTGTCCGCACTTGATTAAAAAGGAAAATATTTCACATAATTTTATTTTTTTTGTCGAATTTTGGTTATGTGGAGGGCTGCATTTGAATTCATGTATTCATAGTCAGCTGTTGAAGCGACGCCAACGCCAACGCAAAGCCAAAGTTCTATGTGGACAGCCGCGGTTTGACACTCCCTTACAAAAGGTTGCATTTACAAAGTAGGCACTTAGTAGGGAAATTCCTTTTGTAAATTTTAATGTATTTGCAGGAAATTTGAAATTATTTTATTGAATCATGGCAAATACTGCGGCAACGCGAATCGAACAACGAGAAAATGGCAGAATGTTCGATGAATGACGTAGAATATTCAACAGCGAGAAACGTCAAGTGGATGAATACTGCGAACAGCGAGATAATGAGAGAATGTGCCATAAGGTTTGTTCGTCGAAAATCCAGCAAGAATCTAAATATCAGAGAGTAAGAAAAAATTATCTCAAATTCTCTCTCAAGTTGAGAAACTTGCAAATTTCTGCACGAACGCAAATTTGCAGGAATTCGCAAGTTTTCCTGCCTGCTGGCGTCCACGGTTGCATTTTAAACATTCAATAAATTTGCATACAAATTTGCAACATTCTAATCAGACTTTTTATAAAAATGTTTAAAATGAAGTTTTACAGCCCATTAAATTTTAGTTGATTTTTGGTATTGTTTTTACTGAGAGTTTCTTCCAAACAAACTATGTTTGATAATTCCTTTTATATGGAAAACACTTTCAGCAAAAAAAATAAATGCTAAAAATCAACGAAATTTGCTGGCAACTTCAGACTTGCACTTTATTAATTGGCTCAAAAGCTATATTTTAAAAATTTTTCTAAAAGATCTGATTAGAAATTGTGATCTGATTAAAGAGCCTCCGAGCCAATAAAAAAATATAAGTACAAGATAACATTAAAATATTTATCAGTCATATTTTTCGTTGCTGTGAACTTGTTTCAAAACTTCTGTCTTTTCCTTTATATAATTGTAAAACTCTGTGCACGTCATTTTGAACGTATTTAGGTACATATCGATGGCTGAGTGGAAGATCGATCTATCTTGGCAGCCAGTTCGAAAACGCCCTATCTCAGAAAACTTTTCAAGATCGCCCTACTTCAAAGTTTGATTGAAAAACGACCTAATTTAGAATATTATTGAAAAACACCCTACCTCAGAATTTGGTTGAATAACGCCCTATCTCAGAATTCGGTTCAAAAACGCCCTATCTCAAAGGAAAATACATTGAAAATAAGCTGAGATAGAGCGTTTTTGAATCGGCATCTAAGATAGGGCGTTCTTCAACCAAATACTGAGCTAGGACGTTTTTCAATCAAATTCTGAAGTAGGGCGTTCTTGAAAAGTTTTCTGAGATAAAGCGTTGTTGAAAAATTTCTGAGATAGGGCCTTTTCGAACTGGCTGCCGAGGTGGGTCGACCTTCCACTCAGCCATCGATATACTAATCATCAACTATTGCTTGTGCAAAGTTCAACTCTCTCGAAATGTGGCTATTTCACAAATTAAACCGGTGCACTGAGAGAAAGAAGTTTAGAATTAAAAAAGCGTGCTAAATAAAAAAAAAAAAACACGCATATGAAAGAGCGCCAACCCAACTCGTAATACATTTAAGTATACAAATTTTAGAATTTAGCATAGAAATATTCAATTCAAATACGCCCATATTAAAATGAAGCGATTTGCAATTACCGATTGCTTTTTCATAATTAAGTTAAAATAATATTTAAATACCATGCTGGTTGTAATGGGAATTGAACCCTGACCCTCTGGAAATTAGCAAATTGTGGCAAGCATCGTCGCGCACTCAGCTACTACAGCCAGACATGTAAATGTGCATTTAAATGTTGAGTTTGAATCAACATCACGCGTGCGTGTTATGAAAGTATTATTTTTAAATACGAACATTTTTAAACGATAATCAAATAGAAAATATTCATGTTTACTATGCGTTATTTCCCCCAGTGAATTCATAACATTTTTCTGAATATTACAACGCGTTTTTTCCCTTAGTGTAGTGATTTTTGAACTTTTATTCAAATTTGTGCAATCAAATCAAAAAACGGGACACTAAAACGAAACCCGGGACATTTTAAGGTTGGACCGGGACACCGGGACAAATAGTCTAAAATCGGGACATGTCCGGGAAAACCGGGAGGTCTGGCAGCCCTAACTTTAACCCCCAAAGCTCCCCCCCGCTGTATCCGCCACTGAATGTCATTAAATGAAAGGGTGCATTCCAAAACGTCAAAATATAAAGCATCAGTGTCATTTATTTCTAAATTTCGGTAGATTGTAATGCCAAATTTGCGCAACCACGGTTAGATACTAGTTTTCAACTAGGTTGCGCAAGTTATACTTTTCTCTTTCGCTGGTATCATCTTTTATTATTGTTTATTCTTTGAATGTGAAAAATTTTAACTTCCAATGTGCAAATCCATACAAATGTACTTATATTTTTAACGGACTTCCAAAAAAGGAGGAGGTTATCAGTTCGTCGGAGATTTTTGTTTTTTTTTATGTATGTTACCGCATAACTTTGGACCGCGTCAACCGATTTCTATAATTCTTTTTGCATCGGAAAGGTTCTGTCTCTGGGGTGGTTACCGATGCACACACGCCCCTAGGTGTCTGTCACAGGTATTAGTAACAAACTAAAAACTCAGATGTGCTATGTATAATTGAGCTCAAGTATCGCGCGTTTATCAATTTCCTTACTCTGTAAGAGCAAAATAAAAATTATTTATTTTGAAACAAATTTCTCTTATCCTTTGCCTAGTTTGGTTTGGAGACAAATCGGTTTCGTCGTTGTACCATCTTTTCGAATTTTTTCTTTCGTCTTCCGGCTTTTTTTTTCGTTCTAAAAATGAACCAACACCAACTAGTAAAATGAAAACTCTAAAATGCCTTTTCTGAGTTGACAGTCTTTTCGTTATGGGATATGTTAACTTTGCTCACGCTGCCGCTCTAATCGCAACACCAGAACCAACGTTGAAGCGCTGGTATATCTCACATGCCGCAGATATGTAGGGTGTGGTCAGAAATGCATCAAG